GAGTTTCCCTGGTGTTGACCAGAGTGGCCACCAGGGAAACCTGGGGAGGGCTAGCCTCCCACTAGTTCGAATTAAGGGACTACACACCCCTTAATTCGAACTAGCTAGTTCGATCTAGGCTTAATCCTCGTGGAATGAGGATTACCTAGTTCGAACTAAGCGCTCCATTAGTTCGAATTAAATTCAAACTAACGGAGCGCTAGTGTAGCGCCTATGAAAGTTAGTTTGAACATTTGTTAGTTCGAACTAACTTTGTAGTGTAGACATACCCTTAGAGACTAACAAAAATATATAAATAATATCATGAGCTTTCCTGGGCACAGTCCACTTCCTCAGCCCTGGGTAATGTTCATTTTCTTTTAATTTGCTTTCATATTAAATAATCATAAGCATTGCTCCTTGTTAATTATCCCTTGTTTTAATATATTTTCTTCCACATCTATGGACTACTTAAATTGATGACAGATCCACACACAATCTCAATACTGGTGTTGAGCATAAGAAATGTCAACCTGCCCCAAAGAAAATTCAATTCGTCCAAGGATGGAAAATCTTAGAGGGAACAAGGCTCTAGCATCCCTGGCAGCAACAATGGGACAGCAAGCCCCTTTAAATAGCAGGAATTGAAAGAGTTGGCAGCTCCTGTCCCCCACTAACATGAGGCCTGGGAGCCACATGGGAGGCATGAGCCCTTTCAAGTCCTGCTATTTAAAGGCTCTGCCCCTTCTGCCCAAGGCACTGTCCCTTCTATCCAACTGTTCTCTAGCACCAGAGTCAGGAAGAAGAGGAGAACAGCAGCGTGCATTTAACAGCATGGCACCTGCCCACTGCCTTGGGAAATCTTGCCCTCACCCGCGTCGTGCCACCATGCAGTCTCTCTGCTCCTCTGCCCATGGCAATTCAGGAAGATTTGGGCGACATGGGAGAGCAAATAAAGATATGAATGTGGTATGAGATTCCCTCCTACATGCAGAGCCTTTACAAGGCCTATCCACTGGAGCCCTGTGCTGGACTATTTTTGTATACTGCTCCCATTATTACAGTAGTGGATCCCAGACCTTCTGCAGACCTCTACTATGCATCATCTGAGGCTCAAAATTCGCCTAGGTGTTGCCTAGGTCTTGTGCACTGGTGTGAGGCTCTATATACTGTGACATTTTCCTCATGTAATGTCTAGGCCTTCAAATCAAAAGAAATCACTGACCCCACTTTCCCCCTAAATTTACTGTTCAGTAAAACAGTGTTCCCTCTAAGCTGCGGGGCAACCCAGATTCACAGGTGATCCATCAGCCCCGCCCAGTCAGTCAGCTCCTTGCAGGGAGCCCTGAGCCTCTGTCTGGGCGGGGCTGATTAATCACCTGAAAAGCTTGGCTCCCCACAGCTTAGAGGGATACTGCAGTAAAACCTATTTAAGATTTATAACACTAGACCTGGGTGGGGTCCTTTTTTGGGTCGGGGACACACACAAGTGAGAAGCAAAGCAAGAAGCCCCTGACTGAAAAGGAGAAAGACACTCCCCATGTTCCCCTTGCACACCAGAGCCTCAGGGGACACAGGCTAGAAGATTTTGTGCACCGGGATCCCTAGTGCTAAGCCTCGGGAGCCAGATCCAGGGAAGCTGGGGGCCGCATCTGGCTTCTGGGGTAGAGAGCCCAGCCACTCCTTCTGGGACTCCCTCGCCTGCTGTTTCTGCTCTAAAGCTGTTATGGCTCACTCTCCAGCTCTTGCTCTCTCTCCTTCCTTTACCTCTCCTCCCATCTCTCAGGGTTTGTCTACACTACCCTCCTAGTTCGAACTAGGAGGGTAGTGTAGACATACCCAGAGAGAGTAATGGTAGCTCATTGAAAGGGCCTGCAGTGGTAATGCAATGAGGGAATGTATCACAGGGTTGTGAAGTTTGGAAGACGGAGCTGGTGTTCCTGGTAGTCTATTGGTGGAAGGCTCTTGGTAACAGTCAGCAGGTGATTGTAGCTTGTTGGAGGTCAAATGTGAGATGCGAATGGTTTGATTCTAGGGGTGTGTATTGAGAAGGCAATGCAGGGAGCTGGGTGGGGGACGGCATCTAGGAGTTGGGAATATTGGCAATTGGGGGGTGGAGGTTATCTGAAGGAAGTTTTCAGTGTTGGGGGTGGTATTTAAAAATGGCGGAGCCCCGCTTATGCAAATGAAGCCCGGGAAATTCAAATCCCGGGCTTCATTTGCAAGTGCGGTATGCCTACATTACCCCACTAGTTCGAACTAGGAGGGTAGTGTAGACATACCCTCACTCTCCCCTTCCAATGGGGAGCCTTTTAAATGCAAGCCAGCAGTGGAGTCAGCTGGTCCCAAACTGCCTGGGCCAATTCCCTATCAATGTTTCTCATTGTCCTGCCATCCTCTGATTCTATTTAGCAAGTCTTTTATCCTTTTTGGGCTGCCTTCCTCCCCCTCTGCAGTAGCCCTCTGGCCTGACCCTGCTATAAATTATGCCAGTGTACCTGGTAAAACTTCCCTATGTAGTCAAGCACTAAATAGACAAGACAGACAAATATGTAGGAGTATAAACAGAAGCATAAAACACATAAAAAGGAAGCATGTACAACAATTAAGTGCACTGTACTATCACCAAAATCTCATTTGCCATTGAACATTAACTAACATGCCATAAAATGAAGTGTTAACCCATAAAATTACTTGCATAAACAAGTATGATATTGCAGTAATGAATGAGGTAGTAGTTACAGTATGTAAACTGCATTTTTGAAAAATATGTCTGGAAAGAAAACCCAGTTATTTCTTATGAACTTTTTTTAATGAGTGTTTCAAAGAGAGGAGGACAGAATACAGAATAAAAATGAACTTATGCTTCCCCACATGTGCAGCTCTTTTTTTGCTCTGACAACACATTTCTTTCTCT